CACACACACACACAGGCTAAACTACAGCAGACACTGAGCAAGATGAGCCAACCTCCTGAAAGTCTAGGCCAGCGGGGGTGGGGGAAGGCAGCTCAAATGTCCGTAAAACAAGCAGGGGCGGGGGGGGGGGGTGATAATGAGGGTGAGGCAGCAGGATGTAGCATGGGGAACACAAGGGGGAGTCCCTGTTACCCCCACGGACACCATGTCCAGTTAGCACTGCTGAGGGGAAGGACACGGGGGATAAATGCAGATGAGCTCGTGCTGCAGCGAGGGGGGGCGGTCAGAGGCACACGCACACACATACACACATACACACGCACGCATGCACACGTGCGCTGCACACGCTGATTCCATGGCAGGCGGACGAGGCCGGCTTCACTTACAACGCTGCAGTGACGGCCTGACATGAGCTCAGAGCACTTCAGGAGGAAACGAGGGAGGGGCAGAAAAAAAGGATGGAGGAGTGAGAATGAGAGTGAGAAGGAGAGCAACACTGCATGATGAGCACGGGGGCAGAGAACATGGTGAGAGAGGGAAGGGTACAGAAGGGAAAGATGGAAAAACACTCTGAACAAACGAAAAACAGCAACATTAAAGATTGTTTGGCTGTAAACCTGGTTTTATCACCAAAAACAAAAAGGCAGTGATTTCACACTGCAGTGAAAAACGAAGCATCAGAGCAGACGAAGCAGGGCTTCGTGCCACCACTGGGGCAATGCCGCGGGACCTTGGGGCTCAGCCTCACCTTCTTCAGCTGGTTGTCCAGCTTGATACACTCCTCCTTCTTCTGCTCCAGGTTGATCTCCAGGCTTTTCAGCTTGGAGTCCTTCTTCAGGCTTGAGGACGCCAGCGAAGACGCGTGCTCCTTCAGGTCCAGCAGAGACGTCTGCACAAGTCGGAGGGGAATGGGGGAGTTCGGGACACAAGCCCATTACTACTCACATTTTTATTCTCACCAGTTTGCATTATCGTCACCATTATCCTCCTACATAAACAGAATGTCTGGCCAGGGTGATGCTGGTGATGAGCAGGCGGACTGACATGACATCTGTCACACACACTACAGCAGATAATACAAGGAGGACATGAGCCCCGGGGGGTTGCAGCTCGGACAGACTGACCGAGCTTCAGGGCACCAGAACGCGGCCAAAAAAGGAAGCGGCTCCAACTGGCCTCTACTGCTCTCTAATACCTCTGCAGTAAGTACCGACAATAGGGGGCGCTACACTCTCCCCTGCTCCTGTGACTTCATACTTGACTTGCTGCAGGCCCAGATAGTAATTTCCGATTAGTAGTCTCCCAGGTTACCACTTTAGTGGGTGGGTAGGCTGGCTACGCTTTGTTTCGCTTGATTTGGATTGGTGGATGGGTGGAGGTAGAGAGGAGAAAATGTGGCTTGATGGTCGGGCCTGGTCTGGAGGAGGACTGTGGGGATAACGTGGCACTCGCTCCCAGCCGCACGCTGCCCGCACACGGCCCCACCCACATGCCACACGGGCCCCGCCCCCGCAATGCCCACGGCCCCGCCCCTTCACCTCGCGGTCAGACAGGTCTCCCTGCAGCAGGCTGATCTTCTCCTTCAGCTCCTTCAGCTCTTTCTTGTTGTTGTCCAGCTCCTCGTTCTTCTCACGCTCGTCGCGGTCACGCTGCTCCTTCAGGCGCTCGATGATGCGCTCCTGTGGGGAGGGTGAGTCACAGAGGTTCAGGGCCCGTTCAGCGATTGCTCAGACCCCCCCCCTCATGAAAGTTCACATACACACACACACGTCATTAATCTCGATAAAGCACCTGTTCTCCAAAGCCCTACTGACACTAATGAAGGTCTTGGGAGTCCATCCACAAGGTGGCGCCACTCACCCCTTTATCGTTTCCCTCAGGAGGGGCCGCCTGCTCACGCATGAAGCGGACTCAGCAGAAAGCAGCCCGCGTCTAGCCCTGCTGACTTCAAAGCGAGACGAGGGCAGGCGGACGGCCTCGATAACAGGCCTGTTACTGCTGCAGAGCATAACACTGTGACAGAGTGAACTGCTGAAATGCAGCAGCTGGTGCAGACGCAGCCACAGACGCAGACGCTCGAGCCAAACTAAGTAACACGATGATCGTGATTGATGACGATCTCTCAGGCCGAGCAGCGTCAGGCATGTTCCGTTCCGCACTGGACCTGGGCCACCACCTCGGACCCCCGGTGACACCCAGCTCCCCCTGGCCCAGACGAACAGAGCCGGGTACGAGGCGGACACACGGGCCACATCCACGGGGCCAGGGCCTTCAATCACGATAGCATCCCTTCACATTGATTTCACTTAAGCTCTCCACAGAGACGGGGACTGATGCTGCCGCCGTATGCTCATGTCAAGAGCAGGCGTGCATAAAGCATGATGGGACGCGGCGTTCGCAGCGCTGACTGCCGAGAGCAGAGGGAGGACAGCTCAGCTTGGCTCCACAGTAAGATGCACAGCGGGGTTTAAAACGTGACTTAAAATCCGGCTCGGCATGCATTCAAGTCAAATCAAAGGCAGGAAAGACAAATTTTTTAACCTGGAAAATGCATAGAAATTCTGAATTTCAGGTGACAGAACTAGATTTAAAAATTAACTGAAACACTAAAACCATACCCCTTAAATGCTGCTTCTGCATACATTACATATTAGAATTTGCAAAAGGTTAACAATTTCATTTTATTTGCACACCCATGTTTTAACCAATGGGAGATTTATTGATGGATGACTAACAGACAACATGCATTACAGCTACAATGAATCATTCGGTCCGCGCAGTCAGAACCTCCGAGCCCGAAAGCCTCAGTCAGTCAGCGGGATCTCCACTCATTTCCATCTTTCACACGTCGATTTACACACAGCCCCACCAATGTGGAGGGGTGACCTGTGACCTAGCCAGCGTGAGGAGGTCACCCCTGCTGTCATGCTGAGGGAATCCTGTTCTGGCAAACAGGTTCCAGAACGCTGCCATACCCCCCCCCCCCCCTTGACAAAAAGGGCCATCAGCAGCTGGCACCAAGCACCGCCTCACGGGGGCCACGAACAGCTGGGGAGGCCTTGGCTGACCCCTGCCTGTGGATATACTGACGGCAGAGACCTGCCGAGATGGAGCTGATCCAGGCCGCTCACCTTCTCGGCCAGCGCCTCCTCCAGGGTGGTTAGGGCGGTGTCCGTGTTGGAGGTGTCCGCCTGCAGAGATTTCACTCTCTCCTTCAGGCTGCTCATCTGCTTCTCCTTGTCCCTCAGCTGCTCCTGCAGGTTCTCGATCTAGCAGAAAGAATGGGGGGGGGGGGGGGGGTGTTATCAGCAGAGATCCACCGGAGTGGAGCACTCGCGGATCCAGACACACGTTTGCCCGTCCTTCAGTACTACGGTAGAAAAACAAAAACCTTCATCAAGTTTCCTGTAAGAAGTGACCTAATTGAATACAGCGGAAAGTGATATTTATTCTAACCAATACTGATACAGGCAGACCGAACCACCATCACCCTCTTAGAAAACAGCACAGCAACTAGAGCCATGTCTATCATGTCCCTGCACACAGACCGCCATACCTCACGGCTCTGGATGAAATTATACAATAATTAAAACCAAAAATAATAATTCATCAACAAACAAAAGGTCCCAAGTTCTGCTGGCAATTTGTATATTATGCTCTTATCTAATATTGAAAAGCAACACACACCAAAGACAAACAGGATGATAAATGGTGTCGGTGAAGATAGGCATTTCGGACCCGGCGCCATCCATCATAAACGGACAGCTCCATGAAAAGATGGACCTTCCCCTCGCACTTTGCATTTAATTAAACAGCCGCTTGATAACCAGCTCAGCTGCTTCCCTATTGGCTCGAAATAACCACGTCAGTACATCGCCTTCTGAAAATGTAAACGTTATCGCCACGGTCAAGCGGGCCGAGAATCGATAAAGGGCAAATGAACAGACGGCGAATGGAGGAGCCTCGCTCGGGCTTTCTAGTAACGCAAATCACCACATTTTCATCTGTGCTTTATGTACAAGAAGCGGCAGCCTTAGGTCAGTAACCATGGGAACGAGCTTCGCGAAAATAAAGCCACAACTGAACGCCGTGCAAACTCCCCCCCCTCATATCAAAACAAGGGTGAATAATTTAGCAGCGAGATCAGGAAATGGGAGGAAAGACGGCCCCACCGTTTGGGGAGCTACAGATCTGAGGGCAGGTCCTTCGCCTGATGGCTGGAGCTATGAGACCCATCACAAGGCATCGCCACTCTGACAGATGCATTTTCCTACCGCCTGCTAGTTCTTCAGAAGCTGCCAGACTCGACCCAAAAGTTCCCACTTTTAATTAATCAAAAGCTTCCCTTCAAACAAGAGGTAACAAAATTTAAACATTAAAAATCATCCATCCTTAAATTTATCCAGAAATTAGGCTCCTGCTCTAGATCGGAGAAGAAAAGAAGATAGGGTGGGTCTGCTTATGAATTTAATTAAACGCGGTGGATATTTTGGCTGAGCTCTGCAAATGAAAACAGAAAGCAGTAGTGAGAAAGTGAGAAGAAACTTGATAATGAATTTGCTCCGGTTTAAACAACTACAGCCGTTTACCGAGTCATAAAACTGGAGCGCAGTTTGTTTTTTCAAATCATTTCAGACGTTTGGACAGATGTTCTATCAGAGTGGTAGAGTAGGTGTTTTAAGTGGACATTTTAACAAGGCTATTTTCTTAATAAGACACACTGAGTAACTGTTTGCTTGCTTGGTTGGCTGGCTGGCCTCTGCAGTCGCATTCCTGCCAGGGCAATGCGATTCCTCCACCGCCCCCTACTCCATAAAACATAGAAATGGAGGGTACACCCCAGGGCAAGGCACAGCTTCACAAAAATACGGAGGCACAAAGCAAACCCTGCAAGGGCCTCCAACATCTGGAGATGAAGAGCAGACCCCCACCTGTGCCACACATAGAGCCACGATGTGGCAGCAGGGAGGGAGACCCAGCAGGTGTGGGCAGCACCCCAGGCTGCATCACGCTACGAACTCAATTCAACAGATACAGTTATTTACCTGCGTGCTTCACTACCTCAGTCTCTACAACAGTGTTTCTCAACTCGGTCTTCGGGAACCCCCAGATGGTCCATGTTTTCGCTCCCTCCCAACTTCCGGGAGGACCCCAAGAACCAGTCTGAGAAACAGTTTTACAACGTCACCTACTTTTCTGGGACTTGAACCAACCATCACAGGCCCAGACCTATAAAAATTCAAGGGGAGCGTTTGCTTTGCCCCTAAAGTCTCTAAACATGCAGAGGGTATTTCCAGCCCCCTAGCTGCCAACATTCACAGACAAGGGGCACAGTCCCGAGGGAATCAGACAACAGTAAAATGCTGGCATCTCCGCGAGCTACACCCTGACAACATGGCAAAGAAGAAGAGAAAGTGAAAGAAGAAGTGAAAGAGCAGCACAGAGAAAACTGTAAGTACACCTCTCTCTGGCCAACAGGACCAGGATGCCAACCCGCCACACACACTCAGGGCTCTGCTTCACGGCTGCGCGCGCACACACACACACACACACACACACACACACACAGGTTTGTAATTATATCTTTGTGGGAACTCTTCATTCATTTCTATGGAGAAAACTCTAATCACAACATGACACCCTTAACCCCTACCGAGCCTTAACCTTAACCATAAGTAACCAAACAAAATACGAGACTTTTGGCATTTTTACTTTTTTGATTGCATTCACAGATCTTTGTGGGGACCTGAAAAATGGTCCCCACTACATCAAAATAACAGGCTTCTATCACAGAACATTTGGTCCCCACAATGTAATATAAACCTAATCCACACACACAGTCATGCAGAAACACACAGCCCCCACTGCGCATACCCAGGTACCAATAGCCATAGCAAGCTGCAAAGCCCAATACCCTTGCAGTAAATTCACTATCTGTGCACCCAACAGCCTTTTAGAGCACATGCCAGCATATTACATACCTTACACAACGCTACATAGCATAATATCGTCACTGTCCAATGAAAACTGATGATTGTGACTTTTTACTATAGATGGAATGTGCCTGTCCTCCTTCATAAAATGTTTTATGAAGTCATCTATTTAACTACTAGTATTTAACTAGTTAACAAGTCCTTGCAAAGCATTAAACTGTTCTTTGACAGCTGTGTAAAGACAGGTTTATTTGTGGTACTAAGGTTGTCTATTTTAGGGATGTTTTGCAAAGTAGTTTCTGAGAAATTCCATTATTTTAAGCTCCTGGATTTTTGGAAATGCATGTTTTTCATTGGACAGCGATGATATGCTGCCCAAAGACACGCGCTAGGGGGCGGGCCTTCGGTAACATTCAGCTATTGCTTTCCATCCACCCATTCTTTAAAACTGCTTATCCTATCCAGGGTTACAGGCACAAGGCAGGGAACCACCCAAGATGGGGCGCCAACCCACCAAGATGGAGCGCCTACCCATCGTAGGACACACTCATAAACCACGAACACCTATGGGCAATTTGGTAACTGCAATCAGCTTCAACATGTTTTTGGACTGTGGGGGAACACTGGAGTACCCAGAGGGTTCCCCACCACAGCATCAGGAGAACATGCAAACTCCACATACATGGAATCCTGATGGAGACTCGAACCCAGGTCCCCAGAGGCACCCCCATGCCACCCCACTCAGCTATTACTTATTATTATTATTTATATTTGGCTGAGTTAGTTGCGCTGAGTGCAGCAGTGAACCACATGTGCTCTGTGTACTAAAATCAACGCAATAATTGCATCCAAAAAAGGCAAAAGGCACCAGAGCAAGGAGGTCAAGAGGACATTATACATCTAAATCACAGCGTCCTTGTCTGCCTAGATGATCACGTGGACTTTCGGCAAACTTAAAAAGAAACGCAAGCAATTAAAGTTGGAAAGACAAAAAAAAAGGTTGAGAAAGGCTTACAAGATGAGTTTGGAATCGTGAGCGGTATCTCTGTGCTCTGGGGCAGATCAGAACCAGCTTGGTCAGATAATCAGCTCTCTGCATGACACAAGGGAAGCATCCAGTAATGAGTCCCAGGACAACCAAGCCCACATGCGAATCTTTAAACTGCCTCGCATACGGGGCTGCATGGCCCAGCGGTCACATGGACAGCATCAGCGGCTGTGTCAGGGTCGTGGGAGGGTCACATTCAGCAGTATGTGGTCCAAAGGCAGAAAGCACATATGGAGGGATTCACGCACAGTACCAGACATGTCCAGCAGAGGGCTCTTTACCCACCGTCTGAGCAGGAGACTGATGGAGACAAAACCACAGCTGGAGCGGACACTCGGAAAATAAGATTAAAATAAGATGAAAAAGTGTTAATGGAAGGAAAACGCCAGACTGGCACGTGAGCAGCCGCCTGCATACGTGCCCTCTGGTCAGCCACAGCGCACTGACGCAGCTCTGTGTGCCCTGTAACAGCATAACCCAAAGAGGCCTTCCCTACATGCCCCGGCCCTGAACCAACATCACCTGACCGCTTGTCCTTCAAAGGCACCCGGCCATTCCAGGGCTGCTCAGCATCCTGACATGTGGGGAATGACCAATGAAAAGCCCTGACAGGCTGTCGGGTAACAGACACCCCACCGGCCAGCAGAGTCTCACTTTCTGTCCAGGGGCTGAGCAGCGGGCAGCTCCCACGCACTCGGAAAGTTCCGGTAAACCCCTAGCAGCCACGGAGTGTCGCTCCGCTTCTCCGACAGCCTGACGGGGAGAGTCATGCTTAATTTAGCTGCTTCGTTACTGTTTCCAGCCTTTGCAATCGACACTAAAGAAATCTCCCCAGAAATGAGGCAGCAGGAACGATGAAACGGAGAAGGACAAACGAGGGGTGAGAATTTCTCGGCCATCGTGACCATTTTAAGGGGGCGACGGCCCCGTCTGCTCTGCATCACTTGTCCATTGTTAGTTTACATACCCGCAGCGCGCACAGCTTTCTTCTCGCATTTGCAAATGTTATTTTTTCCAGGTTGTCCTGCCCTGAACTGTCTCCCACAGCCTGCCATCCAAACCGCCGCTCTCAATATTTATGCTGGCCTGAGTTCACACCAAGATTTCCTCCATCCTTGTCGCCCCGCCGAAAACGCACAGGGTTATTCCTCTACCTGTTAATAGGGTAAGTGTCGTTTGGAGGTGGTGACGGGGACGGCAGACGAGCTTATCTGGACGTCAGCATGCAAGCTGGCCGCTTCGGAGCCAAACCGAGCTGACGCCTCCTCACCCGCCAGTGTCGCCGTGACAACTGCCAAAGAACAGAGGCACAGAGGACCGCCCACAAACAGCAACGGGCGAGGCCCACCCCTAGGCACGCGCTGGCCGCCAGCAGGAAATCGCTGGGCCGCGACCTCAGACAGGAGCGCTCCGGAGGAGAGGCAGCCCAAGGATTTGATCCAAGATGAAACAATCCCCGTTAATCCCCTCTCAAGCATCCTTACGCCGGCCAATGAAGACTAGGGGAGGGGCACCTCTGCTCACCCCAGCACGTCCAGCAGAGCCTCTGTGCCCCCTTAACCCACCTTCCAAGTTGCACAAAACACATTATTATTAATTCTGTTTTAGTATGCTATAGTGGCTTTAACGCCGGGAGCAACTACACACTATGGATAGGCTTATAAGGGTGAAATTCACAGAGCACAGCCACATAAACCACAACAGCCATTCTGCCCCCAAGCCCTCTCCACGCCAGAGCAGGCCTCTCCTGCAGAGGGCTTCCTGAGAGCAAGACATTCAACACTACCCTTCAGAGAGGGGGGCACCGCTGAGGTAGTACACTCAGTCCTATCCCCATGGCAACCGGCTACCTGCACCAGTCATGTGGGCTTGAAGGGCCATGTGGCAGGCCCATTAAAGCATCCCACGTCGAGCCTTGGGGGGGGGAGGGGGGGGGGGCGCTACATGGCAAAGAAACGACTCAGGAATAATAACGGAAACCAAAACAGTTTCTTTCAAGCTACTAGGGAGGGCTGTCTAATTTCAAAAGGAGCGGCATTCCCACTGCCTGTCCAACCCCCCGCCCCCCC